GCAAAGTGACCGCGCGTATGTGTCATACCTGCTGCAACGGTACCGCATAATCGTACCGGTTTACCGCAAAGCAGGCATGTATGTGTCTTCAGCTTTAACGTTGATTGCCGAATTGTCCGGGAATTGCCGAATGGTGATTATGTTGCATTCGATTTTCATTCAATGCTACAGGTGTGATACGCACTGCCTCAGTGCCCGTCTGCACGGCTCTAGTTTTAATTTGCAGCTGTTTGGGCATATACATTTGATGACTTGGGGAAGTGGGGGTGAGATGTGTTGCTTGGGTATGCACCTCGTGTTACTGCCATGGGAATGTGGAAGATGACACAAGGTAAACAATTCCATATGGTTATGAAATGAATCAAAAAATTCAATTGTAATAATTTGAAATGTTAAACATCGTGAAATGTTGAACAATAGAGGACATTGATATTATATTAAAAATTTTGTTTCAAATACAGAAATGCTTGTGAAGCCTCATTAGCTCACACCGAGCTCGAAAATCCTTGGTGATATAATCATCAACTTCCTCCTGTAAGTTTTGAGAATTCAAGTGCCTCAAAAAGCAAATCATCTGACAACTCAATATGACACATTCTGTCCTACATATTGTTCTGGGTATAAATAAATGTGTTCTGGAATTCCACAAGGCAGATCTTTGTTTCTATTTTTTCTTCCTCTGTGGTTATTCCAAACTGTTTGACGAAAGATGTCAAACTCTTTCTGAATTACAGGAATAAAAACAAATGATAGAAGTTTCCTGAAATACAAACAAAATTCTAATAAGGTTTTGTTATTGAGACCATAACAGGACACAGGTTAATTAACAAGTGGTTGCCTAGTAAGATACGCCCACTTTCCTGATACATTTTCAGTATATCAAAGGGCGGTCGCCAATCACACCAAAAATCTAACTTGTCAAAGATATTGTTGATTTAAACCAAATTCTGACATAAAATGCCACATCTATCGCGTTCACAATCTACATTACACATGATTTAAGTCTATCATTGTTTCTAAATCAAGGGCAATTACTGAAAAACCGAAATTCATCGAAATAATTCAACCTAGAACTTGACCAAGATCTCATCTAAAACTATAGTCTCCATTATGTTCACAAACAAATTTTGGTGCGTTCTTACTAAGTCTTGGACAATACACCTTATTCACGTTTCGTCTGTTCATAACACAAATTACGACGTCATTTGAATGAATGACGTAAAATGATGTAAAATAAGATTAATTTTGAGAAGGTAGCCATTTTACTGCAATGTCACGCTGTTACCTTTTTTTGTTAGTGACACCAACCTCGTTCTGGATTCAATATGACGCGTGAATGAGGTCTATGACCCAAAACCGTTCATTAAAAAATCCTCAAACTAGAGCTATACCAAGATCTTAATTAATAATATAAATAATCACAACAAATTTCATTAAAATCAGTTGAAAACTGTATTATCTATTGTGTTCACAAGCCAGAAAGACTGACCGACAGAAAAGGGAGATGGCAATATACGACCACATAATAAGAGTTAGATACAATTAAAAAAGACTGTAATACATAAAACCATTTATGTTCCAACTGTTCCTTCTAACCAAATAGAGCTTGCTCAAGGAGGACTAAATAAAAAATTACTAATGATATTTTTAACACATTTTGAGTACCGGTAACTCATTTATTTCAATTACATGTTTCAAATGTTGAAACAAGAATGTCAAATATTAGCAGACTTTGCCTTCTATAATGTCCATGCAGTATATAAATTCAAATAACACACCTGTCAACTTCATTTTCAGGATCATAGGAGCCACTTTCTAGGAGCTGGTGTAATTGTTCTTTAAAATATAACTCCATCCTATGATGCAATTCTCGCCACCAACCTTCAACCTTTTGGGTAGATGGTCCATACACAATATTGTTGGTTGGATCTTCATGTTCAGTACATTTATTTAGTAAATAACAATGCATTGTTGTCATAACATCTGTTTCTGTACCCCTATCAACACGAATCCTCACAGGAAGCTCTGAAAAGAAGGCGTAAGTCTAAACAGCAGCACCTCTTGTTCAGTTATACATAAAATTCAGATTTATATTCCACTATGAACCTTCTGTTATATGGCATGTTTTTTTTTTAAATGTTGCATTATAAACTATAATCAATAATTTTATAAATTGCAGTTTTCTCACCAATCTTCATTTTGCGAGGTTGAAACTTTTGAAATCAGAATTAGGTCCAATACACGAGGACACGAAGGGATTCCATTCCTTGAACATCCAAGCTGTAGTAGATGCTAAAATGAGGTAATGATAAAAGAATTATTGTATATTTACAGAATACAATCGTTATATTTTTTGTTCAAATTCAGTTGCTATGACTAATCCAAATACTTTTTATTAAAAAATATGGTATCACGATGTATAAATCATTTAATATATTACATTTACTTGGTACAGCTCTATATTAGTTTTTGAAAAGGAATCTGCTTCGGCCGATAATAATTATTGTTTATAGATTTCCTAACAGGAGTTTAGGCCCTTTCGTCAGCAGTAATTGTGGCCAGTAAGTATACAATCCATTAAGAGTTACTTCCCTCAAAAATGTTTGCACCTTGATATACATTCGTCAAGAAATATCACAATCAATTAAATTTTCCGTAAATTTTATATATTTTTAGATTTCTGAACATCAACAGCAGGTTTCCTGGATCAACACACGATGCTTTTATTTTACAAAGTTCAAGTGTTCCAGAACCTGTGATGAATCTTCCTGAAGGTGGAATGCTCTTAGGAGACCCAGGTTACCCCCTGAAAACGTGGTTGATGACGCCGTTATTGCATCCAGCTACTCCTCAAGAAGTGAGATATAATAAAGCCCACTGCAAAACCAGAACTGTTGTGGAAAGGGCTTTTGGTGTCATCAAGATTCAGGTATAGGTATCCGTAATTAATCTTTTCTTGGCATATATTAAAATTACATGTATATTTGAAAAAATTCTCCATTAGAATGTAGACCATCATTATCATTGTTTTAAAAAATCTATTTTCGAATGGCATGAATTCTTTTTTCTTTTCAGATGCATTCATAAGACAGGAGGCAGCCTTCCATACAAACCCCTGAAGTGTTCAAGAATTATAGAGACCTGCTTTAGATTACATAACAAGGCAATAGAGGCTCGTGTGCCATTGATACAGGGAGGCGAAGTACGCCATGTTTACCAAATAATGTCCATAATCACAAGCCAAATAGGGATGCCCAAGCTTTGAGACAAAGAATAATTTCTGGGTTTTAAGGTTTTTTTTAAAAACTTTGGAATACAATCCATAAATAATACCAATTCCAAAGCATAGCAAAATCAAGAGTAACAGTATTATGGTAGTGGACTTCTCCAAGAGACGAACCATTTGAGGTGTTATCACACTCACCTTCAATGGTTATTTCACCTTATTCAGCATAACATATTTTGCATCTGAATTATGAAAAGAAAAAGAGTTAAGGGAAGGTTAAGGGGGAATAGCATTTTTGGTGTCTTGAATATGTAAAAAGTCTTCAAAAGTACAAGAACTACGCAGAAATCTTACAATCTACAATAAAGTTTGTATTGATAGAAATATTTTAATATAAATAAAGAATTAAAGGTAAGTGTTATAAGCATGATATAGGTGTGTAGTAGTCAAATGATCAGTTGCGATTTCACTCCAATAAAACTATTGAGACCAAAATTTACGAGGTCAGAACTTGATTCAAGGAGGGGAGAATATCAAGGACCGCTTGAAATCATACAAAACTTAAAATGAGAGAATTGAAAATGGATACAATGTAAGAGCCACAGCATAAACTTGCATTCTTATAGAGATCTTTGAATATACTGATCCAGGAAAAGTAGATTCTTATTTCTAAATATATTTGATAAACGCTGGTAAAAAGAACAGAAATAGTTACCATTTTTTGGTGGAGCCAAACTCAACATGGGTTGGCGGCAACTTGTATCCACAGCTCCCTCAATCCCTGCAATTTTATTACTGAAATAATGTATTGCACTCAAATTATTCCCTTTTACAGTAGTCAAGCCAAATGTGGAAGTATCAATTGCAAGAATATGTAGAAACGAAATTGCAATTAAATCTGGTAGCGTATCTACCATGTGTAGCATTTATTTTAAACTGCAATCCATACGTACTATCAGCTCTGGCTCAGAACAGCCACCAGTACCATTCATCTCTTTCTTCCTTTTAACTCTCTTTTTTTTTTGACAGCGGTTTGGGCATCCTGACACCTTTTTTTCACTTCTTCCAGGGTTCGAACACAGGATACAGTTACTGCGTTTACTCTAAAATAAAGAGTGTTTATCTCAAATGAAAAAATTTCAATCCTCATAGCCTTATCAGTGGTGTATTTAGAAATGGAGATGGGGAGCATTGGCATGAAAATGCTCAAACTTTCGAGTGAAATCGGACCAAAATATTTGGCTCAACAGGGGGGGGGGGGGGGTGCATGGCAACACACAAGCACCCACCTCCCCTAAAAATACGCCACTGAGTCTATTTGAGATTGACATAGGCCTACTTTCAATCTACAACCAGTAGCACAACTAGATCGTGATCTAGGCATAGGCCTACTTACTTTTCAGAAATTTCACGCCATATTGCAATTTTTTTTCCTGAGTCAGGGACGGCGAAAACTTACCTTTTATTATCCGGTAATTATCAGCCACTGATTGACAAAGGACTGTCATTTCCCTGTCTCCCCATTTAGGTTTTCTTGTTTTTTTTATCCTCCATTGCCATCAGTCAAGAAACTTAATTGATAAAAACTTACCGCGAAAGATTTCAGACGACTATTTCTTTAGATTTGTTTATCCATGTTCAGCCATGTTGAGGTCAAGTTCGCGTTGCGCATGTGAAGGGCCAACCGGAAGAAAATGTATCTAGGGCTAATCACATGTAAAAGACAAGCGTTAAATAACGTTTGAAAGTTAACGTGTTAAGTTAACGAGTGCTTTTGAGAAACACTTTAACGAAAACGTTATTTTTTACGTTATCAAATCGCTAAATTTTAATGTTTACGTTAATCAACGAATTCTTGACATAACTTTCCAAGTCTTTTTTTAAGGTTTCGTCATTCTTCCCGAATTTGAGGCATTATTAGGGCTATGGGGGCTGCCATATATTGATTCATAGTTATTAAAACGAAACAACTCTCAGACACATATTGTAGACGTCTGGGTGATAAAGACTACATTAACAGTAGAAAAGGTACTGGATGACCACGACACTACTGCCAAAACCAATTTCTCTAATTTTTTGGAAAATTTCATCCTTTGAAAGGGTAGCAATGGGTTGGTCTTTTTTAAATCGGTGTTCTTGTTTGATAGATTTTGTTCTCCAAGCTTTAATAACCCAAACAACATCATGTTTACTGCGTCCTTGAACAATATGACATGATGTTTTGAAGTGTTCACTGTTCGATGGCTCGATAGACAAGTGACAAGACAACTTGTCACGTGGTCATATGCGCAGTCACCAGCGGAAGTTAGATTAGGTATAGTAATACTAATACTAGGCTAATAGCACAGTTTATTTGTCTAGTGTAAATACTATTGTGAGTACTGGGAATATTGTGTGGCTACCATTTTAAGTTTATTTCAATGTAAGAAAATATTTGTGGTCTAATTCCAATTTTATTAATAATTTAATATTTGTGGTCTAAATCCAATTGGTCTGGATAATCTTGCATTTTTATATTGTCTATTGAATCTGGAGGAAAAGACTAGTGTTCCTAGATGATTAGTACTTCCTGTTGAAAATAAGCACATGGATGCTATAAAAACTTTTTGTTAATATTTAGCTCGTTTTGAGAGTTCTGTTGGTTGGACAGCAGTTTGGAAGTTACAATCAGGAACTGTTTTTTCTAACCAGTTGCGGTCCTCAGTCGCAGTTACAGTGACTTGTAACTTTATCAATATTATTCATTGATTTCATGGTGTGAGAAGATTTGATTTGAACTGTGTTATAAGCCGTTCCTGTATTTCATCATAAATAAACCTAATATGTTGAACTATTATATTTGATTATTTTTTATATCAAAAGACGTCTTAATACGTGGCAATGTCCTGATGAATTGCCTGGATATCGGGACATTAAGTTAGAAAAACATCCTCTTCTGTGAGTGACTTTAAATATATTAAATTTGAGTGACATTTTTATAAATTGAGATGTCGGTGGAACTTCCAGTTTTGTATTCTACTGTCTATAGACTGTGTGAAGAAATAAGCCTTTTAATTAACAATAATGAAGAATTTATTGACATTGAACATAAATATGATGTTTTACAACGTTATTGGAAAACACTGGTAGATAAAACTGAAAAAGATAGTGAATCACCGTCAGATCCTGAATATACTAATATAGTGTTCAAAAAATCGCAATGTGATAAACACTTTAATTCTTATAAATGTGTAAAAAACAAAGTAAGTCCTAGACCAAAAATATTTGAGGGTAGTTATCATGGTAGCAGTGCATCGACTAATTCTTACCTACGTAAAAAGGAAAAGTTAGAAATTGCCCAGAAGAGAAAAAAACATGCTAAGTTTATGTATGATTTGTCTATGAAAGAAATAGCCATTGTTAATGAAAGAAGGATGTTGGAAGCTCAGTTGGAGGTGGAAGAAGCCAAGATTAGTTTATCGATACAACAACAAGCCGACTTTGAAGAATTAAGTCATTCCATGGAAAACCCAGAAGAAAAACATGATGTTATAGACAATGTTGTAAACCCAACTTTGTTTAATGATGTTAATAGTCATAGCATAAGCACACCTTTTAGTAGGCCTACTGTGTCTAACCATGTTTCATTTTCGGTGCCTAATTATAGCTCTACTGTGCCTGTTTCTAATCATGTAAATGTTATAAGTACTACACCTGTATCTAGTAATACATTTCCTTTAGTTAGTAGCAGTTTGGCTTATTAC